ACGCGACTGCTTGGCAACTCCGTCGTTCAGATGTTCGCTGGGCTATTTCGTTAACGTCGTCTTCGTCGCCAGGCCCCGATGGGGCGCCATGCTTGGCTCGGCATCGTCTCGAGCTTCCTGCCGTCGACGCCCTGTTCGAGGCCGCGGTGGACGAGCTGTCTGCAGAGCATGGCCGGAACTCAGCGCTTTCGGCATTCCCGCTGGACATCGCTCGGCGACGCGGAGTTCAAGTCCGCCAGCATGGGCTTCATCCCGACGCAGATTGCTCGCGGGACCAATGATGCGCGCTATCCTCTTCCTGGCGAAGTCCGCCAGCTATCCGTGGTCAACGCAGACAATAGGCTCATGGCTACTGCTTGCCGCTTGCGGGCGGGGCCCCTGCTCGACGCGATCAGTTCTCTGGCCCAGCGGGGCTTCCTGCCTGGGAGGTCCATGCGTCAGAACGTCGTGGAGATTGACGCCAATGTGAGGTTGGCCAGTTTGGAGGTGGAGCACCCAGGAGCAATCTGCTTCGACTTCGCGGAGGCGTTCCCGTCGCTAGCGCACGATGTCTCGGAGGAGGTGCTGGGGTTCCTGGAACTCCCTTTGCCGCTCCGTCTTTCCGCATCCAATCGGCGCTGCGGCAGCGGCTGCAAGATTGCGGCCGGCGGAGATTTGCGCGAGGGCTTCAGCATCATAGCAGGGATCCGCCAAGGGTGTCCATTGTCGCCTTGGCTCTTCGCCCTCTGTGGAGACCTCTTGCTCCGCCGTCTCCGAGATTCGCCGCTGGGCGACGCGCTGCGGGCGTGCGCGGACGACTTGGCGCTAGTCTCGCGGAGTGTCTTCTTGTCAGCGCAGCGATTTGTTCCACTCTTCACTGGCTTCGCCGTCGCATCCGGCCTGTCTCTGAACCTGGGCAAGACCGCGTTCGTCCCTCTCGGCGACGCTGCGTTGGAGGACTTCCGTCGCTCTTCGGAGTATGCAGGGCCGCCTGCCTCCGGGATCGGGCGGGGCATTTGGGATTCGTGCCGGGGCCCGGCGGGCGCGCGCGGGCGTGGCGAAAGGCTCTGGACCAGTGCGCCCGCCGCGCGGACCTCTGGGGGCAGCTCGGCCTCGGCCTGCGTTACACTACCGCGGCGCACGGCGCGCGCGTGGCCTCGCTCCAAGGCGCCCGCCTGCAGCTCGCATTGAGGCAGCGGCCTTCCGTCGATTAGGCCCTGGCCCCGCGCGCTGAGCTCTCCCCGCTGACTTGCGAGCTCTACGGCGGCATGATGGCGTGCCTCAAGAGTTTGCAGATCTGCACGAGGTTTCGTTGGCCGCTCATACTCGCGTAGCTCACCGGGAGGCTGCTGTCTCTGGTGGTTTGGCCGTGGCATCGGTGGTCCGCCGTCTTGGCGGCTCGATCGTCGACGCGGGCTGATTATGGCGTTCTGTCCGGTGGTATTTTTGATTCCAGGGCGCCTGTGTGTATTTTGGCCACGGCAGTGTCCGCGTTCCAACGCGCAGGCATAACCATCCGCATAACGGAGGCCGACCTGGGAGCTGACGCCCCGCCCGCGCGCTCGCTGGCAAGCCCATCGCCTCGCCCGCGGCGTGCAGCGAGCCATTCGGGCAGCGTGGCCCCACACGTTGCGCAGCCACCCCGAGACGAGACTCCGGGCGAAGTCGGCCAGGCGGCGGCTGCCGATCTATCCGTTGTTTCGGGCCATCCGCGGGTCGGCAGTGCTGCAGCGTCTGGCCTGGCTGGTGCCACCTCGCGCGGTCGCCGCAGTGCTTTGCACCTGGCTCAATCGTTGGTGCACGGCCCGGCGTTCTCAAGCCAATGGGCGTTGTTTTTTCCGTTGTTCCATAGGGCGGGATTCAGTCGACCATTACACGGGCTGCCCCATGCTACGCCGTCATGGGCAAGCTGCGACTCCGGCCCCGTGCTGCGCCAACCTTCGAGGAGCGCGGCCTGCGGTTCTTTCTCCTCGCGGGCGACCACGATCTCCCGGACGTGATCCTCACCCGGCGGGCCCTGCTGCTCGCTGCGGCCTACTGGCTGCATTGCCAGTGCCGCCGTCGGCCGGCTTTTTCCGACCGCGAAGTTCTACGTCGTGCGCTTGATCAGGCTGTGAAGGAGGCGGCTCTGGGGCACGTCGGAGACCTCCGCGCGGTGGACAGCGTCTGGGTGGACGAGGATGTCGGCGTGTAGGCGTGAGGGCATCTTCGCGCGCGGGCGCGCAACGAGCGCAGCAGAGGATTTGTTAACCGCAGCTTGTGCGTGTGATGGCGGTTGTGCAGTGCAGCATCCAGAGAGCTCCCGTGGCACGTGTTTCGGGGCCCCATTGCCCCTTGCCTCCCCTCCTTCCGTCCCTCCTCCCTCCTTCTTCCCCGGCGCACCGCAGCCCTGAGACGCCCGCCGCGCGCCGCGAGGACGGCGGACTGCGGCAGCCTGCGTGTGTGCCCGTCTTTGCTCTCCCTTCGTACCCCTCCTCGGCCTCCGTCCTTGTTCCTCGTTGTTTGTCCTTCCTTTGGCTTTGTCTCATTGTGCCGTCTCTTGGAGGCCGCCTGGAGAATGCGTGAGCGAATAGAGGAACGGATGCATTTTCGTAGTGTTTGTCTTCGACTGTAGTTGTGACGACGTCTACCCGGCCGGCCTCGGGTGACCTTTCACATGGTCCAAACGGCATACCGAAGTCATTGGCCTGGGGCGGAAATGCGGGCGGCTACTCGTAGCCAGCATGTTTTGCGATCGTGGCCAAACCGTCGGCCAGCATGTCATCGGCCACGCGGCCGGGCCACGATAGCTTACACCGCCGGCTGCGTATAGAGTAGGGCGGGTCGCTGGGTCGCTCCTGTGGATTAACTGTTTTCCCCCTGCCCGCGTCCTCGCCCTCCCCTCCCCAACTTCCGAATCGTGGCGCAGCGTTCTTAGCCCAAGCTGCATGTATGGCTGGAAGCGATGACGCTCGGCGCGAGCATGGCATGTTGTCTCCCCTGTCCTCTCCTCCCTCTTCCCTCCTGCACGCGCCGGGGGGTCGCGTTCCCTTCGCTGCTCGCGGTCTTGGCAGCACTGCGGTCCTGCTCTGTTCGCCGGCGGTGAGCGTTGTCGCGACGCCCTGGTCTGCGCTGGAGGCCGGTTTGGGGCCCGCCTCTGTTTTCTTTTGCGATGTTTTTTTTCAGTTGCGCGGTAATTTCATGGCTGAGCTCCGCTCGCCCACAGTATCTACTTGACACGTGCACTGTTGAATTTCTGGCCTCTGTTGACGACACATTGCATCGGCGAATGTCCTTGTCGTGGCCATCTGATGCCGAGGGCGGTTGCATTCTGATATTTCGTGGGTTCTCTTTCTCCTCCCTCCTTCCTGCTTTGCTACATCCACTGTGTGTGATTTAATGTTCGGCTGATTAGGCCAAATGGGGATGTCCACACAGTTTCCTGTTTCGCTCACTCTCGCCTCGTGTCGTTTACCCGGCCAGCCACTTCCGAGCTCTGCCGCTATAGTGCTACGGTGCGGTTCGAGCCCGTGCCCGCGCTTTTTGCCAGGGGGCGGCAGCGGTTCTTTCATGGGTGCAGTTATAGCACCCATGAGGGGAAGCGGATTCGATGTTCTGCCGGACAAGGGGTAGAAGTTGTTGGATTTGGTTGTGCAGGGCTAGCGCTTAAGCGGACGGGAATCGTTTTTCACCAATGCGGCTGGTCTGCAGCATCCAAAAAAATATGAGTTGTGAGGCGCTTTCGAGTGCCACCTTCGGGATGAACCGTTGGCTTCGAGGGTCTGTTGAGTAGCCTGTGAGCCACCGCTCCAATTCTGATCGTGCCATTTTTGCCTTTCTATCCGATTTGTTCAGGCCTGTCTTCACGATTCCAGGGTGGCAGATGTACTGTTTACCAGAGCGCATGTTCGATGAAGTGATGAACCGACAGCGATCCGACACCTATGAGAAGATGCGAGGCGCCTTCGAGTGTCACCTTCGGGGTGATCCAGTGGTTTCGAGGGTCTGTTGACTGGCCTGTGAACCATTGTTCCATTTCTGATCCTGCCGTTTTCGCCTCTGCATCGGATTTGTCAAGGCCTGTATCCTCGATGCCAGGGTGGTAAGTGTGTTAATGTCAAGAGCGCATCACGATGAAGTGATGAGTTGACGAGCGATCCGACACAGATGAGATGCGAGACGCCTTCGAGTGTCACCTTCGGGGTGAACTTGTGGCCCTGAGGGTCCTGTTGTTTGGCCTGTGAAGCACCGCTCCAATTTTGATCGTGCTATTGGCCCTGTTGTGTCCGATTTGTCAGGCCCTGCATCCATGATGCCAGGTTGGCAGATGTGTTGTTGTTCAGTTGTTCAGAGCACATGATCGATGTAGTGATAAGTTGACAAGTGACCCGACACTGATGAGACGTGAGGCGCCTTCGAGTGTCACCTTCAGGGCTGAATCAGTGGCATCTAGGGTCTGTTGCAGGACATTCCAATTCTTATCGTTCCATTTTCGCCGTTAGTCCGGTTTGTCAGACCTTGTATCCATGATGCCAGCGTGGCAGGTGTGTTGTTGTCCAGAGGGCATTTCGATGAAGTGATGAGTTGACGAGCGATCCGACACAGATGAGATGTGAGGCGCTTTCGAGTGTTACCTTCGAGGTGAACCGGTGGCCTCGAGGGTCTGTTGACTGGCCTGTGAACCACCGCCACAAGCTTGATCTTGCCATAGTCGTTGCGAAGGCCGAAAATTCAAGGTCTGTATCCACGGTGCCAGGATGGCAGATGTTTGTTATTCTTCGGAGCACATGTCATATTGTGTATCGTCGTCCTTCCGAGCCTGGTGAAAGAATGTCGTTCGACCGCGCAGACATTCGCGCGTTATGCTGCCAGCGCACAGTCGCATGTAAGCGTCCTCGTTTCCGCGCGGGGTGTTGCCCTGGCGACCTGCCTGCGTAAGCCACCGCGGGAGTCGCTACCTCCTCGCGCGTAAGACATCTCTTCTCGTGCCGCTGACATGAAGCATGCGCCGCTAGCTGATGCCTTCAAGCTGTCCAGACCAGGCGACGTGCTGTTCCGGACGACCAAGCACTCCCTGGACAACGCGGACGAGGCCGTTCGAGTGGCACAGAAGTGCCGTGCCTAGGCAGGAGGAGGAGCATGAGGAACGAGACTGAGGAATCGTAGCGACACGAGAAGGAGGGAGCAGAAGGAGGGAGCAGAAGGAGGAGCAGGAGGGAGCAGGAAGGCATTGATTGATGAGGAGGGGGAGGAGGAAGAAAAAGACAAGCGGAGGCAGGGGGGGGTGGACACGGAGGAGGACCAGAGTAAGGCTCGAGTGCGTGAGCGATGCCGCAGCACGCCCGCCCGTCCCAAAACCCCTCCTCGGTAGTCCACTGCGGGACGGGGCCCCGTCCATTTGGGGCGTTCTTCTTTTCGGCCGTCAGCCGCACTGCTGGCGCTCCCCATTCGAGGGGCTTGGCTTCTCCTCTCGCCGCGCTGCCCCATCGCCGCCAGAGGCGCCACTTTGCTCACAGGGCTTGGACCCGCCTTTCTTGCATACTCCTCCTCCTCCCTCCTCCTCCTCCTCCTCCTCCTCCTACTAGTACTACTACTACTACTACTACTACTACTACTACTACTACTACTACTACTACTACTACTACGACTACTACTACTACTACTACTACTACTACTACTACTACTACTACTACTACTACTACTACTTACGACTACGACTACGACTACGACTACGACTACGACTACGACTACGACTACGACTACTATACTACTACTACTACTACTACTACTACTACTACTACTACTACTACTACTACTACTACTACTACTATACTACTACTACTACTACTACTCCTTGCAGCTGGCACGTTCGGCGTCCATAGGGGGAGCACAACTACATCCTCCTCCTCCTCCTCCTCCTCCTCCTCCTCCTCCTCCTCCTCCTCCTCCTCTGCAATACCCCCCCGTACCCCCCACTGGAAAGACGATCGCCCCCCTCGGGCCTGCCATTCGGGCGAGGCCATGTCCTGTCAAGGAGCCACCCTGCCATCCGGGCGAGGCCACCACTGTACTCTACAGGCTGCCGCCTCTGCCGCCGACTCCAGCTGAGCGACGTACAGCCAAGACGCTGAAATAAGGAACAGTTGGGATTCGGAAGGGGCTCGATGTTCCTGACGTCCTTCCGTGGTTGTTCCTCTAGCCCTTCTCGTGCACCCAGGCTTTTTTTGAAGCCACAGAGGGGCTTCGTTTCTTATTTAGTGCTCCTCATTTCAGCAGCCCGACTGTGTGTTTGATTCGTTTGTTGTCGGGGTACTTTTCCGAGCACGGCAGGAAGGGTTCTGGTGAGATATCCAGGCCTGAACCTCGCCTTTGGGACTCCATGGACTCATGATTCGCCGTCGCACCTCGGACTCCTCTCTATCGAGTGGCCTGCGGTCCATCCCGCCACTGTGCCTGGGTTGTGGGTACGGCAGGTCCGCGTCGTGTCGACTCGCTGCGACCCCGCCGCGAGCGTTCAAGGTTGAGCGACGCAAGTGGCCCAGAATCGGCCATTTTGGGGCGATCTGGCGATCGGGAAGCCGCCGATCGTTCAAGGTTGAACGATCCAACGCGGTGTCAGAAACCATAGTCGAGGTGGTCACGACACGGACCTGCCGTATGTAGCCTAGCGGATGTCCGTTGGCATTCTGTGGGGGAATTTTTTTAGAGCGCCTCGCGGCTGCAGCTTCGAGGCCTCTTGGGGGCAGCTTTGGAGCTCCTTGGGGTCGCTGTCGGGTCCCTTAGCCTTGGGGGCCTCTTGGAGCCCTCCCGGGTGCCTCTTGGGGCATCCCGGGGAGGCCTTGCTGGCCGGAACGCTCGGATGTTCGGCTCGTGCTCCGTCTTTTGGGCCACTTGTGGGGCCGTCGTGGAGCCTTTTGGGGCCGTCCTGGGCGCCTCCCAGGCCGTCTTTTCGGGCGCTCGAGGGAGGTCTTGGGCCCCTCTTGGGGGCCTCGCGGGCAGTCCTGGGGTAGCACTGGGGACCTCAAGGCCGTCTGGGAGCGTCGGGAAGGGAACAGGCGAGGGCGCCAACACTTTTCAAGCAAGGAAGGCGCATCAATGATTCTTCCCGGTCAGGGTCCTCTTGGGAGGCATCTTCGAGGCCTTCTGGGGCATCTTGGAGGCCTCGCGGGCCATCATGACGCCATGTAGGGCGTCTTGGGGCGATCTTTGAGCATCTCGGGGCGTCCTGGGGCCGTCGGGGGCCTCTTGAGGGATGTCGGCCCGTCTTGGGGCCCCCATCGCTCCGAAACCGTCACGCGAGAAACTGCGAGAAGCCCCAGGAGAGGATTTCGCGATGTAGATTTTGGGTCTCTGAACGATTCCTCAGGAATGAGGATTGAGGTTGGGAGAATGATGGCAAGGACCTGAGGGCACGACCGGTCCGTGCCCAGAGGCACGGTGGCGGATTTACATAGCCACGGGAATCCGATCATCATGGTTCTGGCGGATCGCATCGCATTTTGGCGCCCCAATGGGGCAGCCGTCTGGGGGTATTTCAATTTATTTTTGGGTGGAACCGTGGTGGGGGGTCCAAAAACAGAGGTTCCGTGGGGTGGGGATGCCTGGGCGAGGAGGGGGGTATCCGTCGGTTTTGGACGAGAAATTGTGTGGTGGGGGGTCCCCGAAACAGAGGTTCGGCCCAAGAACGGAGGTTCCGTGGGTTGGGGATGCCAGGGCGAGGAGGGGAGGTATCGGTCGGTTTTGGGCGAGAAATTGCATGGTGGAGTGCTCCAAGAACAGAGGAGGGGGGTATCGGTGGGTTTTGGGTGAGAAATTGTTTGGTGAGGGGTCCCAAGAACAGAGGTCCCGCGGGGTGGGCATGCCTGGGCGAAGAGGAGATTCGGTCGGTTTGGGGCGCGAATTTGGGTGGTGGGGGGGCCCAAGAAGAGAGGTTCCCTGGGTCGGGGATGCCGGGGCGAGGAGGGGGGTATCGGTCGGTTTTGGGCGAGAAATTCTTTGGTGAGGGTCCCAAGAACAGAGGTTCCGTGGGGCGGGGATGACGGGGCGAGGAGGGGGGTATCGGTTGGTCGGTATTGGGCGGGAAATTGCGCGGTGGAGGGCCCCACGAGCAGAGGTTCCGTGGGGCGGAGATGCCGGGGCGAGGAAGGAGGTATCGGTCGGTTGTGGGCAAGAAATTGTGTGGTGGGGGGTCCTAAGAACAGAGGTTCCGTGGGGCGTGGATGCCGAGGCGAGGAAGGGGCTATCGGTCCGTTTTGGGGGGTGAGACACGGTGGGGGTCGGGGTGGGTGCAGGGCGAGAAATTGCAGGATGGGGTGGCTTACGAATAGAGGTCTCGAGGGGGTGGTCTGGCGGGTGGGGGTGTCAGACACGTGGGGGTCGGGGTGGGTTCTGGGCGAGAAATTGCAGGGTGAAGGGTCCTAAAAACAGAGGTCCCGAGGGGGTGGTCTGGGGGGTGGGGGTGTCTGACACGGTATGGGTCAGATGGGTTGCGGGCGAGAATTTGCAGGGTTGGAGGGCTTCAGAAAAGAGGTCCCGCGGGGGTGGTCTGGGGGGTGTCAGACACGGCGGGGGGGGCCGCCTTTGGGGGCCTTTTGGGCCGTCGTGGGGCCATCTTGGAGGTCTCTTGGGCGATTTGGGGGCGATCTTTGGGGCCTTTTGGTCCCTCGGACGGCTGCCGGAAGGATGTCGACATTATTTCAACGCCTATGGCAATCTCTGATGTTGGCCTCGTCGCGCCTCCCTGGAGGAGCTGTTGGAGGCCTCTTGCGTCGTCTTATGGGCTGCTTTGACGATTCTTGGGCTGTCTTGGGCTCTCTTGGGCCATCTTGGCGGCCTTGGAGGCATCTTGGGACCGTCTTGGAGGCCAGCGGCCAGCCTGGGGCTATTTGGGGTTCTCCTGGGGCCGTCTTGGCCGTCCAGAAGTCATCTTGGAGGCCGTCTTGGCCGTCTTGGAGACCATCAAGGCCGCCATGGAGAGGTTTTGGTGACTCTACGCGGATCTTTAGGTGGCCGGAGAACCCACGGGGAGTTCGTTTTGAAAAGAACAACATGTTTGCCAAACGTTCGGCTCGCCGTGCACCCCTGTGGCAAGACCGCCGGGGGCGGCGGATTTAGTGGCGCCAGCGTTCCTAGGTTGTGGACCGGAGGCCTACTTGAGGTTTCCTGCGGGTCTCTTCGTAGACTTTTCGGGGGCCTCTCGGGGGCGGGCTTAGGCCATCCTGAGGACCTCCAGGCGGCCTCAGGGGGGCTGTCGGGGCATCGTGGGGTAGAGACCTCCACGTGTCAGGTCGAGCTTCCCCGAGTGGACCCCTCCTGGGGCCGTCTTGGGGGCCTCTTAGGCCCCTCCTGGGAGCTCTTGGGTCTTCTATGAGTGATCTGTGGAGAGCCTCTTGGGCCGTCCTGGATGTTGCAACTGCTCGAACACATAGGGGGTCCACCCGATGCTGGCCTTCTGGGACGGCGCCAGAATGCTCCCAAGACGGCGCCCCAGAGGCCCCCCACAGAGAGCTCCAGGATCGGCGTCGCGAGGGGCCACTCAGCAGCTGGTCGAGCGCGCTGCCGTTGAGAGCTTTGGCACGGTGTGCCCCTCTGCGTTCGATGGGGCCGAGGTTCGGGCGCGGCTCGCTCTGGCTGCTGGATTGCTCGCGCTCGGTCGAAATGCACAGCGGGAGCCCATGCCAAGGAACGCCCTGCTTGCCTCCACGGTGCCCTGCTTCTTTGGGGCTTCGATGGTCGCCAACAATCAATGAACGTCCTGGGGTCTCGGGGCTGGGTTTCTTGTAGAAGGCTTCTTGTGCACTGGCTTCCACTGCGTTGCTGTGGGCGCGCGCCGCGGGCTGCCGATGCGCCCGCGCTCGCTGCAAATGCAGTGCTGGGGGCGCGCGCCGTGGGCTGCCGAGGCGCCCGTGCTCGGTAAACTCTCTGCGATGCTGCAGCGCGCAGGCCGCGGGCTGCCGTGGCGCTCTCGCGCTCGACAGGAAGGGAGTCACCAGTGGAGCGCACCCTTGGCTTGTCTCGGCACGAGATACACGACGTGCTGCTCTTGCACCAGCAGATGCGAGAGACCGGCTGGCTCGGCACTGCGCTGTCCGCCGCCGTGGCATGTATCGGGGGCGGCAAAGAGGGGGTGATAACTAGGGGGGGTGGAATCATGGCGGGGGCCATGATATTTCCCCAGATCTCACGGCGCCTCTTCTCATTTCATTACGTCCCTGGCCCCCCCGCTGGGCCGCGCACGTGCCGCTGGTCATGATTTGCACCCCCCCTCTTGGACACCCCCCTCTTGGCCGCTCCCGAATGTAGTGTTTTGTCCACGCCCCTCGGCGTCTGATTCTGGCGTAGCGTTGCGTACCGGAGCGTGCGGGAGTGCTTCCCCGTGAGAATCAGGCGCTGGAGCGCCCCCTTTCTGTGGGTATCGGCCGAGGGGGCGGGAGGAGGGCCGCAGCGGGAGGCAGCAGTTTGCCCCGCACGCCTGGCCACGTGTGTGTCGTAGCGCCGCGTCGTGTTGTTTTTCTCGCGCGCGCGTGCCTCGGCCGCGCGCATCTCCTCGGCCGACTGTCTTTCTACGCCGCGACGCCGACCAGTGTGCGCGTGGGTGGATCCAGGCGAGCAGGCCTACGGCAGGCGATGGCGCGCAGGCGACGCCGGCGAAGGCGTTCAAGGCTGATCTCCGCGTGGTAGGACGACGCACGGAGGGACACGGCAACGCCACGGGACCCGACGGAATTCAACGTTTCACGATAGGGGCCGCGATCGGTTCAAGGTTGAAGGATCGACGCGGTGTCACAAGCGTTTGCGCGCGCACGCTGCGCGAACCTGCCGTACGCGGGGCGTGCGCGGGCGCGCAAACGGGCGGGTTTGCGTGCGCGTGCGTGCGTCCGTGTGGCGCTGTGCGCTCGCGTCAGTTTCTCGGTGCGCGTGCGCGCGTCGGTGGGCGGGCGCGCGCACGAGAACGCGTCAAATATGTGTGTGTGAGGGAGAGAGAGAGTGAGCGATTGAGCGTGTGTGTGTGTGTGTGTGTTTGTGTGTGTGTGTGTTTGTGTGCGTGTGTGTGTGTGTGCGTGTGTGTGTGTGTGTGTGTGTGTGTGTGTGTGTGTGTGTGTGTGTGTGTGTGTGTGTGTGTGTGTCTGCGTGTCTCCGCTGCGCTGCGGCGCGCGCTTCCGCGACGTCAACTTGGCGTTCGCGTGTGTGCGTACGGGTGGGCGCGCGTGTGCGTGTGTGTGTGCGTGCGTGTGTGTATGTGTGCGTGTATGCGTGCGTGTGTGCATGTGGGTGTGTGGGCCCGGCCGCGGCGCGCGCTGTCTGTGCATTTTCTCTGCCTCGCCGCTGCGCGCGAGGCCGCTCCCACCAAAATGTGAACGTGCATACGTGCGCGCGCGGGTGCCTCCGTGTGTTCGTGGGTGTTTGTGGGAGCTCGCGTGTGTGCGGCGGGTGCCGGGTTGCGTGCCAGTCTTTGTGCGCGGGGTTCTGTCTGCCTGCGAAGGGAGGGTGCGCGAGTAGGCGAGGCACTTCTTGAACGTAGTAGTAGACGGGTGAGGGTACCCTCGGCGGCGAGCCCAGGGGGACGGCCTCCGTCGAAGTTTTCAGGGCCTTTCCCGAAGACGTAACGAACCTCTCAGAAGGCAGGATGGTTTCTGAAAAGTTCCGCTGCCTTCTGAGAAGGCCTTCTCCTTTTCATCCCCCCACTCCGTCGCCGCCGATACCCGACGCCCGTCACAAACATGTTCCTTCTGCCCCATTCCAGATATCGATCTGCCCCCCTGGATCGGCTGGCCCGCCAGGTGGCCCGGATCAAGGCTGGCGACTACCGGTGCCTTTTGAGTGGCGCGGGGGAGACGGATCGGACACGGCCAGGGCGAGGATAGGAGCCTGTCTTCCTGTAGATCCAGGCAAGTTTACTTGCATGGCGTTCGCCCCCCCCGTTCCCCCTGCCCCCCCTATCGCCATTCCTCAATCGAATACGAGCGTGTAAGTGCCTTTCGACTTGCGTGACTTTCGCACGCTAAGCTGTTTTCGGCTTGCTTTAAGCTCAGGCCCCCCCCCGCCTATGTACGTAAAATTTGCCCGAGTATGAAAAAAAGGCTCTAGATCCGCTCCAGAGCGTGAGGAAGTCTCGGGCGACGAGGACTGTGACCCGAGGCCTCCGTGATGGGGTCAGAGCAGCTGGGGTCGGAGGATCGCGCCACATCGCCGATGCATCGGCGATGCGGCTCGATGTGGAACCCGATTTTCTCTTCGCTGGCGTCGCAAATGCATCGCCGATGCATCGGCGATGCGGTGAGATTTTCCGACCGCATCTACTTTGACCCCATCCAGGAGGCCTCTAGCGACGTGTGTGGAAGTCTCTTTGGCAAAGTGCGGAGACCTTCCTGACTGGCTGACTGACTGGAGCCCTGCATCCCTGGCGGACGTGTGGGCAAATGGAGTGAAACAGGATCCGACGCAATGTACCAGCACGGCTCGAGCTGAACGGTGTTTCGGCGATGTCGTGGACCGTGTTCGTTTCCACTATGTTCTGAAGCAAAGGCGGGCTGAAGACAACACGAGGGATGACGGAACCAAAACAAAAACGAAAAACACTGTTCAGCTCGAGTCTGGTGTAGAAGCGCGCAGACACAGGAAGGATGAGAAGGAGGGAGGGGAGTATAGGGTCAGCAGGGCAGAGACCTCCCTACACTACGGGACACGCATTCCGGCGCCGGCGGGGGGGGGGATTCTAATCTTTTCAAAGAGGGAGATGCAACAATTTTGCATCGCTCGGACGTGTGTGCATTATGTTACGGGTTCGATCATGGGCCCCTTGGTAACGCGAAATATCCTGCTCTCAAACCGATGACCCCCGCGTCGGGCCACCGGCCAGACCGCCGAAGACCGGCGAAAGACCGCCGAAGACCGCCGAAGACCGCCGGCCGCCGGAAGACCGCCAGAAGACGGCCGAAGACCGCCGAAAGACCGTCCGGAGCCATTTTGGCTCAAGCCACTGTCGCTCGAGCACAGAACTTTCGCACCGAGAACCGAACCCGAACCCACACCGAACTCTCCAGATGGCGGGGCCGCACGTGTTGGCGGCTGCGGCCGCCCTGCTGTTGCTTCGATCGGCGGTCGGGCTCGACGCTCGGCCTGCCCGGCCGCGGTCGCCAGGGAGCGGGCGGCACGCGGAGCGAACCGACGATCTCAACATCGGTGATGTCGCCGCCGCTGGCAGGGATGCGGACGAGGAGGACGACTTCGACACGTGGTATTTCCAGCACGCTGGAGACGCCGACAGCAGGTTCTCAGCGGGGTTCGAGTCCGATGGCCCCGAGAAGAAGGGGCCCGACCCTGAAGAGAAGTCGCGCGTCACAGAAGCGTGGGGCCACTGCCATCAAGGATACCTCTCCCACGGAGCAGTGCCACTGGAAAACGGGGTCATCGTTTACTTGGTGACCAGGCAGTCAGATCTGAATATGTTGTGGGACGGCTTGTCAAGACTTCGCTATTTCATATTGAAGCATTGGGCATACGACGTGAAAGTGTTCGTCCCCAGTAAAGAGTTGCGCGAGTATGATCCTTCTAGCTTCGCAAAATCCCCCTCCCGCGAACGAGTGATGAAGGTTGCACAGGAAGTTCTGGGCAACGATACCTAAAACTTTGAGGTTGAAGATTTCGACCTCACCTTCCCAAAGGTTATCGCCGACGATGACGCTTGGGAAGGGAAGATGAACGATTGCGCAAAAGCCGTGAGTACAAGCTACAAGCACATGAACCAGTTTTTTTACCAAGGCGATGTACCAGCATCCGGCCTTGGATAAGTACAAGTATTATCTGCGCATAGATGCCGACTTTTACTTCAAAGCTGGTTCCGATGGAACGTCGATCCAGGCAGATCCATTCTGCATGATGGCGAAGACCGGTCGGAAGTTTATGTGGCAGACGCGTAGGCAAGTCAAGAATCAGATGTGCACAGAAGGTCTTTGGGAATGGTTCGAAGAGTACCAGCAGGCGCAGGATCTGACACCCGGTGATCCTGTGATGTGGAATGCTTTGGGAGCGCGGGTGAACTATGTGGGCTACGTGGGCATGGGGGATTTGGACTTCTTCAGGTCGGGGCCAGTCCGAAGGCTGTCGAAAGCGCTGAACGAGGACGGGCGTGTCTACCTGAATCGGTGGTCGGACCAGACGTACTACATCCTCCTCTTCGCCCTCTTCGAGAACCACTCCGCGGTCGGCGACATTGGCTTTGATTGGCGTTTGGACAGCTGGTGCCACAAGTGCTTCGACCCTCGAGGCTTCAATCCTCTTACTGGTGAGAGTTATGAGTGAGGACGGCATGGGGGGAGACATGATGTGGAGGGAGGAGGTGGAGGTGGGGGGGGAGGAGGAGGAGGAGGAGGAGTCGTAGGTTCTGCTTCCAGGCATGGGCGGTATGCTGAAAAGCATCCGCTTCCGTGCACATATTCACCCACTGCTCACGCGCTGTGGTCCACGCAAGGTTCCTAGGGGAACATACATCTTAGCAGATTTGCCTTCGTGAGTTCAGCATCTTGGAGCGTCGGGAACTCGAAAAGCGGGAAACCCCCCAAAACCATTAGATAGCAGTAAGGGGTCTTATGTTGCACAGCGGGAGCCCAAGAGGTCCATAGTGGTTTCCAAGATGTCGCCCGAAGGGTCGCTTGAGAGTCATGAGCGGTTCCCCAGAAGGGTCGTCTCAGCTTCATGAGGAGTTCTGGAATAGTTTGTGTGAACTCAGAGATGGCTTCAGGAGCCCTTTTCAGCTCTGAGATGGCTCCAGAGATGTCTCACGTGTGGGGTCGCTCTTTCCGCCGTCTGACATAAATGTCCGACCGTCGGTTCTTTCTGCGTGCCCCGTGCTTCTCTGGACACTGCTGCGACTGAGAGCGGACAGCACTGCACGTGCATCGTGGAGCGAGATGTGAACAGTCCACGCGGCGTGAGAAGTCCACCTCCTGCAGGCCGAGATGGCATGCATGCCGCAGCAGGCGCGGTTGGCCATGACAGCGCGCGGATCCCGGCGCCCCATGGCAGAGCCAGAGACGAAAAAAAAAGACCGACGAAAGACCGCCGAAGATTGCGTCGGGCCCCAACGCCTGCCGCGGGGCGCGCGCTCGCTGGCGGTTTCCGGCGGTGTTTCGGCAGGCTTCACAGGCCAAGGTGCGTGGCGAGGGGTCCATGATCGAGCGCGCAAATGCTGGTCTCGGCGAGGGCCCTCGAGGAGCATCCTGGCCCATCTTGCGAGCAAGATAAACGCACGAAGTCGACAGATGCACGGGGACTGGACGTCCGAGCGACAGCGCGATTCAGGAGGAGGAGGAGGAGGAGGAAAAGGAGGAAAAGGAGGAAAAGGAAGAGGAGGAGAAGGAGGAAGAGGAGGAGAAGCACGAGGAGCAGGAGGAGGGAGGGAGGGAGGGAGGGAGGAGGAGGAGGAGGAGGGGAAGGAGGAGCAGGAAGAGGATGAGGATGAAGACGAGGAGCGATGGAGGGATCTTGCACGAGGAGGGAGAGCAGCAGCAGCGGGAGGAGGGGCGGAGGGCAATGACGAGGACGAGCACGAGGACAAGGACAGCGACGAGGACGAGGACGAGGACGAGGATAACAACAATGACGAGGACGAGGACACTGACGAGGACGAGGACGAGGCCGAGGACATTGACGAGGACAATGACGAGGACGAGGACGAGGACATTGACGAGGACGAGGACGAGGAGGCCGAGGACGATGACGAGCAAGTGTCCGAAAGGGAGAAACAACTGTGTAAACATAAATTTTCGGCTGTCCGCGCGGATTTCTTACATCGGCGCTGGGGCCCCCTGGCGGCGCCTCCGGCGCCGCCCCTGGCGCGCTCCGCGCGACATGGAGGGGGGTCCAGCGCAGGTCCAAGAAATCCGAGCGGATCGTCGAAAGTTTCGATTTATGCCGTTTCTCCAGGGAGAAGAACCACACAGACCCCGACAATTGGCGTCTACGCAACGGCCTTGGGCGTTTACTAAACAGCCGTGCCTTGTTCGATTTCTTCCTCGGGTGCGTTTCCCGAACGCCTCCACTTGTCGGGGTGCTCATTATGGAGGGTGGATGTTCTGGCCCAGAATTGTTCTTCAACCTACAGGTACTTCATGGACGACGGCTACCTCTGCACCCCTCGCGGCCGCTGCGTGGCGCCCACGCGGGCGCTTGGCGACATTGAGATGGAGACGAGCACGCACGCTCGCGGGTCCTTTCACCAACTCTGCTGCTGCTGCTGCTGCTGGCGACGTCGTCGTCGTCATCGTGGTCGTCTTCGTCGTGGTCGTCTTCGTCGTCGTTGTCGTCGTCGTCGTCCTCGTCCTCGTCCCCGTCGTCGTCGTCTTCATTGTCGTCGTCGTCTGAGATCTCGCACGGGGCTCCTGTTCCTCCTGTCTGTCTTCCTACTCCCCTCTTCCTCCCTCTCCCATGTATTCCTCCCCCTCCCCACCTAATCTTTATTGGACGATCGCTGCGAATAGAGCGTTTGTCGTGCGGGGGACAGCAGGAGCAGTCTCCCTGGTTCTTCCCCCCTTCCTCACCGATTGCGTTCCACTACTTGCAAAGTGCCTGCTCGTAAACGTCCGACAACAAAACATACATGTTTGCTTCGATGCAGTGGATTAGGGTGGGAACAGCGTCGGCTCGGAGTTGGCGACGCATCGCCCATAGGTCGGCGGCAGGCGTCCGCGACAGCTTTCGGAAACTTCCGACCACTTCCGAAAGCTGCCCTGGCGTTGCCCTTGAGTCTTGAGTCCTCCTCGCCATCTCCCGGCATCCCTCCTAACACTGCCCCTCACCTTTCTCTCCTCTTCCTCCCCCTCCCCCTCCTCCTCCTCCTCCTCCTCCTCCTCCTCCGCCTCCTCCTCCTCCTCCTCCTCCTCCTCCTCCTCCTCCTCCTCCTCCTCCTCCTCCTCCTCCTCCTCCTCCTCCTCCTCCTCCCCCTCCTCCTCCCCCTCTCCCTCCCCTCTCTTCTCGCCCCCCGCCCACCCCCCTCGAGGAGAGCGCGGGCCTCATCTCCACGCCGGAGGCCAGCGCCTCGCCCCCAACCAGCGCCCTCCCCGCCTCCAGGGGAGGGCCCCCCCTGCACTCTTGCCGCATTTGCGGGCGACGACGAAACGACGACGACGACGACGACGACGACGACGACGACGACGACGACCGACGACCGACGACCGACGACCGACGACCGACGACGACGACGACGACCGACGACCGACGACCGACGACCGACGACGCCCGACGCCCGACGACCACCGACCGACCGACCGACCGACGACCGACGACCGATGACCGACGACCGACGACGACGACTTCGGCGACGACCCCCTGCACATCCCCAAGCTATGTGCGCTCCGAGGGCCCTCCCTCGTCGCCGTGCTGCATCTCTGTCTGTCTCTCTCTCTCTCTCGCGAATGCCTTGGGTGCGGTTGGGGCGGGGGAGGGGCGACCGCTGGTGTCGCCCGGCTGGTTTCGCTCGGCTGGTGTCGCCGCCCGGCGAACCCAGTTCCGTCGGCGAAACCAGCTCCGTCGGCGAAACCAGCTGCCGTCGGCGACACCAGCTGCCGTCGGCGAAACCAGCTGCCGTCGGCGAAACCAGGTGCTGTCGGCGAAGCTGGCCGACCCGATCCGGCCGTCAGGATTCGCGCGTGCTCGGCCGAGCGCGCTCCACATAATGCCCCGCCCGCCCGACCCGACCGTCCCGTCAGGGTCCGCCCGACCCGATCCGATCCGACCCGCCCGCTAGGGTCCGCCCGCCCGACCCGACCCGCCCGTTAGGGCTCGCGCGTGCTCGGTCGAGCATCGGCGAAACCAGCGCCGGCGAAACCAGCGCCGGCGAAGCCAGCCGTTGGCGAAACCAGCGCTGGCGAAACCAGCGCATGCTGGGGGAGGGTGGGGGGCAAGCGAACGAGGCGGAGGGGGGGCGGGGTCAAGGGCAACGTCGGGGGGGATAGGCTCAGGCGGGGGATGCATCGACCCCCAATCTCTCATCGATCGCGGTTAGAGGCCCGATAGCCCCACCCTGCCCAGGAACAGGCGGATTCGTTATCGGGGGCTTGACTTGACGCCGCTCTATCGCTGATGGGTCGCTGATTCCAGGTCGATGTTTGCTCCCTGACCCGGTCCCTAACGTTGTCCCTCAGGGAGGGAGCGAGAGAAAGAGAGAGAGAGAGAGAGAGAGAGTGGAGGGACGAGACGGGGATTTGGGGAGGAGCGAGGCGGGGGCAGGGGGCAGGGGGGTTGGAGGGGAGGGGAGGGGGGAAGGCGGAGGGGGAGGAAGGAATGAGGAAAGATGCGGCGGATGATAGGTGGAGGGAGGAGAGGAGGAAGCCCAGGAGGAGGAGGCGAAGAGGGAGGAGGGGGGATGAGGAGGAGGAGGAGGAGGAGGAGGAGGAGGAGGAGGAGGATAAATATCAATCTGCAGATGCATCAACGACGCTGCAATAACCCCTCCCCCGCCATGTCCGCTCCCCAGAAGTCCCCATGTTCATTGAATTTCATTGCAAGGGATGAAAATTCACCCGCACCTGTCAACTGACGTTTACTAAACAGCCCTGGGCGTTGACGAGACAGCCCTGCGCTGTTCGATTCCTTCCTTGGGGTGCGTTGACGAAAACGGCTTCGCTTGTCGGTCGGGGTGAGTTTTCCAGTCGGGGGCCATGCCACGACGCAACCTGCTTGCCTCCAGGGTGCCCTGGGTTTCTTGGGTTCCGATGGCTTTGCTGTGGAAGGCGTGACGCTCCCACGCCCAAGAACTCCATGGGCGTCCTGAGGTCTCGGGGCCGGGCTTCTTGTGGAGGCTTCCTTGTGGACTGGCCTCCACTGCACGGGGGCGGGGGTCTGCTGCCCTCGGCCCACTCGCTGCGGGAGGCGCTCCCCTGAGAGGACGAGCGCCCCGTGGGCCCTTCCGCGCGGCCGAGAGCGCCCCGTGCTGGACGGGACCTGCCCTCCGCCCCTCGGGCCCTCTCGGGCCGGACGAAAGGGGGGGAATTGGGAAAGGGGGGGGGTACGAAATCTGCTGCATGCAGCCCGATTCCGGCCCCACCGAAGCCGCCTCCGGCGCCGGGAAAAAGTCAGCTACGTGAGCTGATTCTGACCCCCCCCCCCTTTCTTTGCTATCCCCCCCGTTCGCCCGGCCCGGCCCTCGGGCCTGAGCGGCCGGGCTGCACGCTCGGACACTGCGCGTAGCGTCTGGGCGCGCGTCCCGCGGCTTCGGGGCCCTCGTCGCCTGTGCCCTGGGGCGGTGGCGCGGGCGGGGGCGGTGGCGCGGATCGACGCGCGTCTCCGACTCGCGGCCGTCATCAGCCGGAGTCTTTAAAAAAGGCACAGTCTGCAGGTGCAGCGGGGCCCCATGCCCAGAAGCACCGAGGTTCGAGGTCGAGCGTCGACGGTTCGAGGTTTGAGTTCGAGGTCGAGGGTCGAGGTGCTCGGACGTTCTCGTAGGTCCTCGGCGGCTTGTCGGTTCTCGGGTTGCGTCCCAGCAGCTGCGCTTCGCCGAGGGCGTTCCGGGGGTGCCCTCATCTTCCCGAACGGCCGCCGGAGACCCGAGTTACAGTGGAAACCCATGCCAAGAAGCACCCTGCTTGCCTCCAGGGTGCCCTGGGTGTCTTGGGTTTCGATGGCTTTGCCATGGACGACGTGACGCTCCCACTCCAAGAATCGATGGACGTCCTGGGGTTCCAGGGTTGGGTTTCTTGTGGAAGGTTTCTTGTGGTCGGGCTCCTGCTGTAACTGGCATGCCTTTGGGGGTTTTCGCCAGGGCCCTGTACGCTGGGCTTCGCTCTTCCGGGCGTTCGCTCGGTGCGAGCCTGCGGACGCCTCGTGACCGCCCCGTGCGTTGGGCTTGTTGCTTCGGGTTGCAGTGCTGGCCCGTGGTCAGCCTCGTGGGCGCCCCAGTCACTGTTTTTTGGGCGGGTCGAGAGCGGGCCTCTTCCGGTTAAGAGCTAGGCGGGGCGCGCAAAGCACTCATTGGGGAGACAGGGCGCGGGCGGGCACCCCAGTCACTGGCAGGCGACAGATTCGTCGCACCACATCGTCTGCACAGCAGGGGGTGCACGCCGTCGACTACCCCAACGCAGATTGTGCCCCATAGGTTGCACCACAGACGTGTGTCGCACCATACCTTTTGCGCCTCGTAGATTGCACTTGTATAGCTTTCACGAATACTGCATCCCGTACACTGCCCCATGTACTTCGCACCATCTTGTTTGGGCCGCATCTATTCCACCATGGTCGCACTCGTGGGTTAGGAACAGTAGCTACTTGCATGGTTCCACCCTGGATGTGTAAGCTAGGTCAGTGCAAGCTACGTTGCACAAGCTGGGCGACACAAGCTATGTGGTACAAGCTAGGCGGTGCTCGGTACGTGATGCTGTCAAGTGGATGTACGCTATGTGGTACACGCTACGTGGTAGAAGCTGTGTGGTGCAATATATGTGATGTAAGCGGGGGTGCAAGTTAAGTGGCCAAATCTAGGTGGTGTAACGTGTATGATAGCAGCTACGTGGTGCAAGCTGTGTGGGATGAGCTATGTGGTGCAGTTTCGTTTGTGCAATGTTATCGGTGTAAGCTATGCGTTTCAAGCGAAATGGTGTGACCCGCCTTTTATCTATGGCACTGTTGGATGTTTTGATGTTGAATGCTTTGATGCTGGATTCCCGTGGCGCTGGGCGAGAGCCAGCAGGAGGCCGGATTGAGGATGGTAGCGATGCGTGCAGGGAAGCGCGGGGAGGAAGGAAGATGCTAAGGATGCAGAGCAGGAGGGAACTGAAGCAGAAAAGCACCGCGTTGAGGAGTCGTATGATCGGGGCAGGGCGGGAAAGCAGGAGGAGTGTCACGACGAACGCGTGCAGGGAGGCAGGAGGGAGGATGCAGCCGCTTCTCTGTCTCGTCACTGGAGAGGACCCAGGCCACTGGGAGCCTTTGGGGGGCTCGAGGCCCCAGGGTCGTGGCTTCTTGGCGAAAGTTTGTTCTTGCCGGTGCAGAGGCGTGCAGCCAGAGCCGCGGCGAGAGCGTCGTTCTCGTGGGCGGGAGTCAGTGGAAGTTCTGACACACAGCAGACGCTTCAGCGGGAGTATCCTTGGTGCTGACTCTAGCTAGGATGCTGTCAGCGACGCGGCGAGAGCGACATTCTGCCGGACGGGGGCTCGATGAAGATCCGTGCATGTGGCTACCGCCGGAGCAAGAGGCTGACCTCTGCGCGGGCGAGAGCGTTCTGTTTGGAACAGGTTATGTTGCAAACCACCCTTTCGCGTGTGAGCAAATTGCAATACACGGGGCGGGCCGGAGCAAGTGCAGTACTGATGTTGTGTGAAGTGGTACAGTCGGACCGAGATTGAACATCGAGGTCGGTTCGGGGAGGGTGCCCTCGTGTTCTTCCTGTTTGTTGGATGCTCTTGTGCATCCTGGGGAGGGTACCCTTGGATGCTCTGTGTGCTATGGACGGCGGAGGGGCTCATGCTCTTGAAAGACGTTTTTCTGTCCCAGGTCCGACTGCACCTTCCTCCCAAGCCGCCAGATCTCAGAGATCTACGGTTTGTCTCGGTCCGACGTTGTCTCTGTCCTGCCTTCGACTCAGAGCGGCCCGAAGGCGAGCGAGTGGATAGACCTGCAGCCGGGCGACATTATCATCGCGGCCTCCGACGGCATTTGGGACGTCCTGCCGGAGGAGCCTGTCGTGAGGAGCAGCCCTCTTCTTTCTTATCCACACCCTCGAGGAGGATGAGGAGGTGGAACGCGAAGATTGAAGCACGCCATGAACAGAACATTTTGGAGCGCCGCGCGTATTTCTTGGATCCGCGCTAGGCTGCCCCCCCGGGCGGCACCTCCGACGTTGCCACTGGCGCGCTCCGAGTGCCATGGAGGGTGGGTCGGGTGCCGATCCCAGAAATCCCCGCGGAGCTCCGAATAATCATGTTCATGCAGCGTTTTGTTCCTTCAGGAGCGCGAGGAGGAGGGAGGAGGATCGGATTGGATCGGAAGGGTTCGCGAAAGAGCTCCACAGGGGAGGTTGCTACCGTGGGCTGTGCCGGGATAGACATGTCCTGCAGACCAATCGGACCCACTGACGTGCCATGAGGCGATCAAACCTCGCTCTGATTTATCACTCGGTACACTACACGCTAACACAGATTAAGGACACGACCTGCCCTCCTTCCATAAGACGAAAGAGGAGAAGGAGGAGGAGGAGGAGGTGGAGGAGGAGCAGGAGGAAGGGGAGGAGGAGGAGGAGAAGGAGGAGGAGGAGGATGCAGGATGCAGAAGAGGGGGAGGAGGGGATGGCAGAGGAGGAGGAGGAGGAGGAGGAGGAGGAGGAGGAGGAGAAGATGAGGAGACGGAGGAGTCGAGGAGGAGGAGGTGGAGGAGGAGGAGGAGGAAGAGGAGGAAGGGGGTGCGGAGAAGGAGGAGGCCGAGAAGAAGGAGGAGGAGGAGCAGGTTCTCGGCGATCGTCGGCCTCTGCCACGGGTGTGGGGAGTGGCCGAGCAGAAGCAGCCGCGCCCTCGCAGCGCGCCCCTCCACCCCTTCCCCCAGAATGCTCCCAGAGAGCGCGGGAACGTGTTGGGGAGAGGAGCGGCAGAGGGTGGGGATGCTTTGGCCTCGCAGTTTATATTTGGCGAGGACCATTGAGGGGCACTTTGCTCATCTTGCGAAACAATACGCGCACGAAATCGAACTATGGATGGAGAAAGGACGTCCGAGCGATGGCGAGGCAGAGGGTGGGGATGTGGATGAGGATGGGCAGAGGAACTTAGAATAACTGAAAGAGCGTGTTCTACCGCTGCTGGTGGAAAACCGGGGGTGGTCATTGCGGGTTCCCAACCCGTTCCCCCCCCCCTTTGAAAACTGGTGGGGGGGGGTCATTACGGGTTCGAACCCCTTTCCCCCAACAGTCCATCATGGAAAGGGGGGGGGGTCACTACCGGTTCGACCCCCCCCCTCGAAAACCGGGGGGGGGGTCACTACCGGTTCGATCCCCCCCCGTCCTCGCCGCCGGCAAGCGATTCCCGCTCCCCGGAACAGTGGACAATAGTGGGGATATAGGACAGTGGTGGGAGTGGTGGTGGTGTGGACAATGGTGCGGGGACAGTGGGACAGTGGTGCGGAGTGGAGGGGACGGTGGTGGTGTGGACAGTGGTGCGGGGACAGTGGGACAGTTGTGGGGACAGTGGGACAGTGGTGGGGACGGTAGTGGTGGGGACAGTGGTGAAGGCGGTGGTGAGGACGGTGGTGGGGCAGTGCGGACAGTGGGGACAGTGGGGGCCACTGGGACAGTGGTGGGTACAGTGGGGACAGTGGGACAGTGGTGGGGAAAGGGGAGAGTGGGGACAGTGAGACACTGGTGGGGACAGCGGGGACACTGGTGGGAACAGTGGGGACAGTGGGGGAGTGGTGAGGGGGAACTGTGGGACAGTGGTGGGGACGTTAGTGGTGGGGACAGTGGTCTGGGGACAGTGGGAATGTTGTGGGGATTGTGGGACAGTGGTGGGGACAGTGGTGAGGGCGGTGGTACAGCGGTGGGACAACAGGCAGGACAGAGGTACAGTGGTGGGGACAGTGGGGACAATGGTGGGAACAGTGGGACAGTTCAGCGGGACAGCGGCGGGGGCAGTGGGACAGTGGGGACATTGGGGACCTTCGGGGCAGAGGTTGGGACCGTGGGGAAAGCGGGGACAGTGGGACCGTGGTGGGAAAAGTGGTGGGGACAGTGGGGACAGTGCGACAGTGGTAGGGGGCACTGGTGGGGAAGGTGGGGACGGTGGTGGGAACAGTGGGGACAGTGAGGACAGTGGTAGGGACTGTGGGACAGTGGTGGGGACGTTGGTGGTGGGGACAGTGGTCTGGGGACAGTGGGAATGTGGTGGGGACAGTGGGGCAGTGGTGGGGACAGTGGTGAGGGCGGTGGCAAGGACAGCGGTGGGACAATGGGACAGGGGTACAGTGGGGACGGTGGTGGGGACAGTGGGGACAGTGGTGGGAACAGTGGGACAGTTCAGTGGGACAGCGGCGGGGACAGTGGGACAGTGGGGACACTGGGGACACTGGGACAGTTGTGGGGGCACTGGTGGGGACAGTGGGGACGGTGGTGGGGACAGTGGGGACAGTGTGTGGGGACAGTGGGGGCCGTGGCGGGAACAGCGGGGACAGTGGTGGTGGGGCTTGCAGTGGGGGATGTGGTGCGGACGGTGGTAGGGACCCGGGAGTCGTTGGCCGGCGGTGAGCGGGGGGGGGGCGGGGGGCTCGAATTGGTAGTGACCCCCCGCAGTTTTCTGGAGGGACGGGGGAGGGTTCGAACCGGTAGTGACCCCCCGCGGTTTTCTGGATGGGCGGGGGTTTCGAACCGATAGTGAACCCCCACCCGGTTTTCTGGGTGGGGGATGGGGGGGGCTCGAACCAGTAGTGACCCCCCCTCCGGTTTTCTTCGAGGGTGGAGGGAGGGAAGGTTTCGAACAGTAGTGCCCCCCCGCCCGGTTTTCCTGGAGGGGGGTCGAACCGGTAGTGACCCCCCGGGTTTTTTGGAGGGGGGGGGGTCTCCAACTGGTAGTGACCCCCCGCGGTTTTCAGGAGGGGGGGGGGATCGAACCGATAGTGACCCCCCCTCGGTTTTCTGGGGAGGGGGGGAGGGGGTGGGGGGGTCCGAACCGGTAGTGACCCCCCACCCGGTTTTCTAGAGGGGGGAGGGGGGAGGGTTCCGAGTCGTTAGTGACCTCCCCCAGTTTTCCGAGGGGGGGTCGAACCGGTAGTGATCCCCCCCCGGTTTTCTGGGGGAGGGCTTGAATTGGTAGTGATCCCCCCCAGGTTCTCTGGGGTGGGGAGGGTCCGAACCGGTAGTGACTCACTCTAAAGGAGGCTGGGGCAAAGGCCAGAGATAGCTAGCGTTTGTCCGCGGTCGTTTCTGCTCAAGCGGCCAGCCGCCAACATATGACTGCGCCTCATCGCGAGGCACACTACTTTCCATTGGGACCGAAGACATCTTCGCTTGACATTGCCCGACGCTCCCGCGACGATCTCCTACTTATGGGATTCTCGTTACTACTGTACAACAGAGTTGGATATGGGCTTCGCCTTAGGCGAAGCATATGGTTGGGCCTCCCAACCCCTTTCAAACTTCGTAGCGGAGCTGGCCTACGGTGGTTAGCTCTAGCTTTACTCCTCACCATCTACGGCACTCTCTGGTGGACTACTGACATGTTGGAACATCAGGGTGCAGTGGGTTTGCGCGGAGGAATGTACATATCTACGCGCAAACGCAAGGAGACTTGCACCGTGGCCTCCGTCTTCGCGGAGGCCTCTCACTTGAGTCCTATCTCCCTGCCCTACTACACTCCTGAAGACCACCCTCCCACTCCAATAGGAAACTTTTTGATCACGCAATGCATGGCAACATGCGGTGCGACACTGCGCCGCCCCCCCCCCCCCCCCCGCGCAGGTTAACGACGATACGTCATAGCCCACAGTTACACACATCCGACCACGACCTAAGGGGCCATATGGCGTGGCATTACCACATTTGGCCTTCTATGGGTCGGTGTCGGGCGCATGCAGCGCGGCGCGTGGCGAAGACGACGCGCGTGCTACCGGCCCCCCAGTGGGGCCCTGCTGGTAGCGTACCTTTCTGCGACTTCGCTCGCGAGGTACATGCCTGATCAACGTGACTACAGTGACTGCAGGCAACGTGGCCCCCTCTCAACAGGCCGCGGCGTTACTGCGTGGTCTGGGAGGGCTCGCAAGGACCATTGCCATGAGAGTACCTTTCTCAATCATTAACTTTGGCGTGAATATCGGTGGTCGCCACGCCGACGGCGTCGCCTACATCATGCCCCTCATCAGCACTGACGTCGGAAAACTAGAGGAGGAACGCCAACTGAATTCAGGAACGGCTCTCCTTGACTTTCGCGCCCACGCGGGAGAGCGGATCGACCGGACTTTAGAGCGCGTCGAGATAGCGCGATTTGAGGCCGAGACCGCAGGCTTCAATATCCCCATCTTCCAGATCCGATCAGTCATATTGCCATGAGTTCTGGGGGTTGGCACGCCGCGCGCACAATAATTACTAGAACCACTCAACCACCAAATGCCAAGGACCCAGCAACAATTTGATTCTCTACTGCGGGGGCGCAAGACTCCTGAGCTAGCTATTAGGGGCCGTCGGCAACGGCGGCCCCTGCCCAAGCCACTGCCCCTGTAGCTTCTGCGGGGCAACCCGCCGGTTCTGAATTTGATTGTGGCACTGACGCCGATGCTTCATCAGATCATGGAGTTGTTGCCCTCGGTTGCTTTGAAACGCCTGCGCATGCCACTGATGGGCGACAGGCGCAGCGGTTATTCCTAGGATACAAGAAACACAAACGCCGTCGGAGACGATTTATGAAGAAACCAGTTCGCAAAGTGCGACGCGCGGTCCGACGGGCGCGCAGGTCCAGGGGCAAGGGCGGGCAGAGGCAAACGACGGCGACTACATGGCAGAGGCACGGTGGCATTCTTGACATCCCTGACCGGACCACAATGCGAAGAACTATTCCAGGGGACAGGCGGAGGCCGTAGGCGCGCCTCAGGAAAGGGCAAGGGACGTCGGGGTAGCCTGAAGGATGCCATGGACAAACCGTGGAGTTTTTTCTCTGCCATCGCACGCAACGCGTCCGTCGTGAATGCCCCCCAGGCATTCAGCTCAAACAGATTCGGAC